CATATAGTGCGGGTGTTGAGTAACTGAATAAAATGATCGTTCTATTGAAGGCATGTTTTGCATCAGCAAAAGCGCACGCGAAAACAGTCTTCGGCCACCTTAACCAATAATGCTACAGTAATGATATCACGCAAATGTCCTGTGTTGGTGAACATGTTGATGTCAATTTTGTGGCACAATAGGTAACCATAGCAACAATACAAACTGTTAAAAACACCCCTAATTTTAGCTTTAAGTGCATATAACTCAAATTCAAGGATACCATCAAATTGTGATAAGCATGATAAGATGCAACTTTCTGCAAAGTCTAAAAGATTCTGTAAGGTGGGGTCAGGGCCACCTTAAATTTTCAAAACATTAAGGTGGCTCTGAACCCACTTGATGATTGTGGCATCAACTGTGGCTCCTTGTCCCTGTTCAGAATGCCTAACTTGTTCCTGACTTAGCTATTTGTAAGTTAAAGGAAACTAAAAGAAAATAACTTAAGGAGATATCCACCATTTTGTAATCTTGAAGTTGATGAAACTTATTTTAATTGGTACTACACATTAAGTTGAGCCACGTCACAATGTTACAACTCTGTTATATGTACATGTACATCATAGGGTATGAACCCTGCTGACTACTTAGATGTGGATAGTCCAGCCCAGCGTGGGAAGAAGTCCAAAAAGCGAAGGAAAGTAGAACGAAATACTAAGCTGTCCAGGAGTTTAGACTCTCTCAAAGAGTTACATGGTAAGAACAAAGTTGTTGGTGTTTGGCCACCAGGGTACATATACTCATACTGTAGCACTTCACACCTTCATTAATGTGTTTGACTGGTTTTGTTTTTGTTTGCTTGTTTGTTTTTTTTTAATTTAGGTGATAACATGTATTTTTCTCCTTCTCTGAATTGTTAATTCATCAAGCTATGGATCCATTTTTATTTTATCAAATAATAAGTACATGTAATTCAGCAGAAAAATTTAAAAAGAGCTACAAGGAAGAAATTCTGGCAAAAATACTGGTCAGGATTAATATGACCCTCTCTCACACAAAGTACCTTCTTGTAACATTACTGTTTGCACCAGAAGAAAGTATTTTTTGCTCTCTCAAGGTAAAAGGAGCGAACATAAAACATACAATAACGGGTGTTACATGTATTGGACTTATTGTTATAATTAGGCTTATTATAATCATTTCCCTTTATCAGCTACATGTATGCTTGATACAGGACTATGCTAAGTAACAGGCAAACCAAGGTTCTTGCCTCAGTCATTTCTTTTGTTTTTGTTGTTTATAGTCATGATAAACACCCTAAATACCTAGGAAGAGAATTTAACTATGGACATTGCTTCAGTCCTAACTTTTTCATGGACATTGCCTCAGTCATAATTTTTTCCTTGCTACAGCCCTGTTACATGATACTCTTTGACACTTGGATCTGGGTCTAAACATGTCAATCAAAGGGTTGTTATAAGGCATGAGCACTACATTTCTACTGACTCAAGCTTTTTGTTTTATTTTCCTTCAAGTCAATGTGGAACCAAAGCCAAGAGATAGAGAGTCATCCTCTTTAAAATCCAAACCGTTTAAATGGTTGTATGGCAGCAAGAAGAAGAACCACAATAACAAAATTAAGAAGCTACCGCTTGAGAAGAAGCCGTCAAATCCAAGCACTAAGCAAGATTATGACATGTTGGCATCAGCTATTCAGATGAGTGAGGAAGATCGCATGGCACTGATGATCATGGTCAAACAAGGGGAACTTACAGTTGAGGAAGCTGTTGAACAGTTAAAGCGGTAAGCTGTTGTACATGTAGTTGAACCTCTCTCATCTTTGGACAACAATTAATTGGCATTGTAGTGAGATGGTGATTGGAGAAAGGTTTCTTCTGTAACAGGATCATCATATGGTCAGGACAGAATATCCTAGAGAGGTGGCCTTTAGTAAAGGGGTTAATGTTATATATATTTATTAACTCAGCATCCAGTGTAGCAATCATATTCAATTTAATAGCATCCATCACATTTGGAGATACATGTACAGTTGTAGGTGAGGAATCACACAACTGATATCCATGGGACATTTGTTTGTTCATATGGTATCAACTCTGATTATGTCTACATACATGTATAGACTGAGCTAGATCTGGGTTTGTTTTTACGATATCTTATTTTCAACTGCTTAACATTTTCATTCCTTTTGTTACAAATTGTTTGACCATATTTGACTGTGAGATAAACAGACTGGTTTCTTCAACCATAAACAAAATTTGATCAGAGACATATATCTGTTATTTAACAAATAAAGAAGCCTTGACTGTGCTCTGTTCTGTTGTAAAGCACGCAGGAAGCGGTAGAGCACGAAAGAAGTGTAATGGAAAACACGAGACGTAGTTGAGTGTTTTTCCCTACTTCTTTCATGTTCTACGCTTCCTGCGTGCTTTACAACAGAACAGAGCACAGTCGAGGCTTCTTTATTTGTTTTATGATAAAGAATCCGATAATTTCCCCACGCATTCGGCTGAATTTTCAAACCAAAAATGAAAATGCGAAATGCCGAGTTGAATTTGAAATGAGCTAGAGTTATTTACGGCTTGTAGCCGCATGCAGCAAGATTGCCTGAACTACATGTAGTGTAAAAGTTAGAAAGACTAAACTGCTCCCACTGGTTCTACTCCGAGCACAGAAGAAAATATCAGAGCAAGCTTTGCACTGATCACTCGTCGGTTCACTTCGCTGAGATTACCGGAGCACGAGCATTACTATGCTTCATGTAAGTGTTGTTTGAGCAATTGAGCATTTTAACAAAAATAAAGCTTCTCATCATAAACAGAGACAGTTCAATTGAAGAAGCTAGTCATAAAAGGGGATAAGTGACGATTTTGGTTGCTTTTCTTTTTTCTTGCTCCAAATTAGCTGAATTTTTGCATGTGGTCTTCA